CCAGGGCTAGAGTGCCGTGGCGTCAGCCTAGCTCACAGCAACCTCCAACTCCTGGGCTCAAGCGATCCTCCTGCCTCAGCCTCCCGAGTAGCTGGGACTACAGATGCTTGCCACCACGCCTGGCTAATTTTTTCTATTTTTAGTAGAGACAGGGTCTCACTCTTGCTCAGGCTGCTCTCGAACTCCTGACCTCAAGCAATCCTCCCGCCTTGGGCTCCCAGAGTGCTAGGATTACAGGCATGAGCCGCTATGCCCAGCCATAGTAGGTTCTTGCTCATCTGATAGCAATGTAGAAGATGAAAATCAGCAACACGACTAGGAGGCAGGAAATCCAGCCAAGAGATCCTGCTGAGAGATGATTAAGTGCTTGCATGTATAAAGAATGGTGACATAGTGACAAGTTTCAGAGGTATTTTAGAACAGAATCAATAAGATTTGGAGATTTGGCAAGATAAGAAAAACGGGGGTGGGGGAGAAAGAAAAATTGGGTGACTTTAGAGTTTTCTTGCTGAGCAGCTGAATGGTTAGTGGACCTAGTTATTGAAACTGAAAATACAAGAGCAATAGGTGTGGTGAGAACATGTAAGTTCAGTTCTGGACAGGTTGAATATAAGAACCCCATGGAATATCCAGGTCAGGAGATAAATATATAATTGGACATGCTAGTTGGAAATGTAAGAGAAATCAGGGTCTGGAGATACAGACTTGTAAGTTACTAGTGTTAAAGTGGTAGTTAAAGCCATAGACTACTCAAAAAGAGTGTAAAAATAAGAAAAGATACATATTAGTGGGCATTTAAGTAATATAATTGATCATGAAGCAAAGTAAAAATAAAAGATGAAAGTAAAATCAATGTTCTGAAAGTTAGTCTAATGCTTCTATATCTTTCTATATCCATTTACTTTTCATCTATATGTGTCTTAATATTAAAGTGGGTTTCTTATAGACAGCATATACTTGGGTCTTATTTTTTGATCCACTCTGATATTCTGTCTTTTAGTTAGTGCATTTAGACCACTGATGTTCAAAGTGTAATTATTGATATAGCTGGATTAATATTTACCATATTTGTTACTATTTTCTATTTGTTGTTTTTGTTGTTCCTATTTTTGTCTTCCCCTCTTTTTCTGCCTTTTGTAGTTTTAATTGAGCATTTTATATGATTCCGTTTTCTCTCCTTTTTTAGTGGATCAGCTATATTTCTTTTTTACTTTTTTTAGTGATTGCCCTGGAGTTTGCAATATACATTTACAACTAATTCAAGTCCATTTTCAAATAACACTATATTGTTTCACAGGTATTATGAGTATCTTATAATATTAACAAAATAATCCTAATTCATCCCTTGTATCATTGCTATAATTCATTTCACTTAAACATAAGCATATATAAACATACATATGTACATAATCATACATAATTGAATACACTGTTGCTATAATTATTTTAAACAAATTGTTATTTGTTGTATCAATTAAGAATAAAAAAGTTTTGCTGCACTGCCTCATGCCTGTAATCCTAGTACTCTAGGAGGCCAAGGCGGGAGGGTTGCTTGAGGTCAGGAGTTCGAGACCAGCCTGAGCAAGACTGAGACCTCATCTTTACTAAAAATAGAAAAATTAGCCATGCATAGTGGTGTGTGCCTGTAGTCCCAGCTACCTGGGAGGCTGAAGCAAAAGGATCACTTGAGCCCTGAAGTTTGAGGTTGCAGTGAGCTATGATGATGCCACTGCACTCTACCCGAGAAGACAGAGCAAGATTCTGACTCAAAAAAATAAAATAAAATAAATTTTTGTTTTACCTTCCTTTATTCCTTCTCCAATGCTCTTCCTTTCTTTATGTAGATCTGAGTTACTGACCTGTAAGATTTTCCTTCCCTCTGAAGAACTTCTTTCAGCATTTCTTGCAAGGTAGGTCTACTGACAACAAATTCTCTCAATTTTCATCTGAGAAATTCTTTATTTCTCCTTCACTTTGAAGGATAATTTCACAGGGCACAGCATTCTAGGTTGTGGATTTTTCTCTCTCAGTACATTTATCATTTCACTCTACTTGCTTCTTGTATGGTTTCTGGAAGAAGCTAGACATAATTGTTAGCTATGCTCCTTTATAGATAAGGTGGATTTTTTTTCCTCTGGCTTCTTTCAGGATTTTTTTCTTTATCTTTGATTTTCTGCAGTTTGAATATGATATATCTAGGTGTAGTTTTTTGGCATTTATCCTGCTTGATGTACTTTGAGCTTCCTATATCTGTTGTCTGGTGCCTGACACTAATTTGGGGAATTTCTGTCATTTTTGTTTCAAATATTTCTTCCGTTGTTTTCTCTTGCTCTTCTCCTTCTGGTATTCCCATTACATGTATGTTAAACCTTTTGTAGTTGTGTCATGTTCTTGGATATTCTGTTCTGTTTTTCCAGGTTTTCTTTTCTTTGCTTTTCAGTTTTGGAGGTTTGTATTGACATATCCCTCAAGCCCAGAAATTCTTACCTCAGCCACATCCAGCCTACAAATGATACCATCATAAGCATTCTTTCTTTCTGTTACAGTGTTTTTGATCTCTAGCACTTCTTTTTCATTATTGCTTAAAATTTCCATCTCTCTGCTTACATTGCCCATCTGTTCTTGCATGTGGTCTACTTTATCCATTAGAGTCCTTAGCATATTATTCATAGTTGTTTTAACTTCCCAGTCTGATAATTCCAGCATCCCTGCCATATCTGAGTCTGGTCCTGATGCTTGCTCTTTCTCTTCAAGCTGGGTTTTTGCCTTTTAGTATGTCTTGTAAATTTTTCTTGACAGTCAGACATGATGTACCAGGTAAAGGAAACTGCTGTAAATAGGCCTTTAGTCATGTGGTGATAAGGTAGAGAGGAGGGGAGGTGTTCTGTAGTCCTATGATTAGGTCTCAGTCTTTTAGTGATCCTGTGCCTCCCACTGTGAACTTCATTCACATGCTTCTCAGTCCCACTCCCTTCTTAGGTGGGACAGAGGTGAGCTAGAGTTTCATTTAGGCCCTGCTAAACCCCCAGCAGGTTAGACTCTGGTTAAATAGTTTCTCCTGAGGGCAGACCTTGTTAAGGAGAACCGAGTGCTCTAGCATAGTTCAAACTGGTTTCTTTTCCCCTCCTGCAGGAGCAGGAGGAGGTAAAACTCACCAAAGTGTGAGGGCCCTCATGACTGCGTCTTCCCTGCCCCCAGAGTTGCTAGTGCTCAGAGTTGTCTACTCTAAGCCTCCAGCAATTTGTGGGTTACAGTTCAGGTTTCCTACCTGAGCACTAGTTCCCACAGAGGTTTCAGCTCCTGAGTTTCTGTTCTGGTAAGTTGTGATTCTGTGTATTCGCCCGTTAGTCTCTCCAATTTTGGAGGCAGCGGTTTGCTCTGGGATCTCACTTCTCTTACGGACCTAAGAAGAGTTATTGATTTTTTTGGTTTGTTCAGCTCTTTACTTGTTAGTATGGCATGGTGACTTCCAAGTTTCTTACATGCTGGACCAGAAACTGGAAGTCTAATGTTTACTTTGAAATCCACACTGTTTCTGTAAATTCTGTTTCATTACTGATATCAATATTTTAGAAAAACCCATCAAGCTCTCTTCAGGAAAATACTTAACATATGAAAGAAATTGATTAGCATTTTTAGGTGGTAAAGGCATCAACATAAAACTAAGTTTAAAGGACTTTTTCATTTCTTAGTTAGTTTTCTAGACTGGATTTGTTTGAATTGGCATTCATGAATCTCATACAAAAATAATGTGAAATGGTTGTACAAAATTGCTCCTATTGGTGTAACAAGAACACTCTATTTGATAGAGATATGGTACTTGTCTGGAAATTAAAGAACCAACATGGAATTATTTATGAGAGATTAGTATTAAAATAGTTAATGTATTACATATTTCACAGTTTTGTATGTTTTATTTTACTAACTGAAGAGAAAAGGAGAATAAACTCTCTCATGGTAGGATGTTTTTCTTAGAGGAAACAGGGTACATTAACTGTCTTTCAATGTAATGAATGAATGACAGTAACCTTAGGTAGTCATATATATCCAAAATAAATGTTTATCACTGGTAAGATTTCACATTGAAAGTTTCAAAAAGAATGACCAGATATTCAACAAACATAAAAGGATTCATGTATTTCTGATATAGTCTAGCCTCAAGTTATAATTATAATTTAAGTCATCCCTTGGTAGTCATGGGGAGTTGGTCCCAGGATCCCCTTTGGAAATCAAAATCCATGGAGGTTCAATTCCATCTATAAAATGGTATATTTACATATAACCTGCACAGCCTCCCATATACTTCAAGTCATCTCTTGATTACTTATAATACCCAATTCAATGTAAATGCTATGTAAATAGTTGTTATACTGTATTCCTTAGGAAATAATGACACACACAAAAAAAGTCTGTACATGTTCAGTACAGATGCAACCATCTACTTTTTTCCCTAACCCGCTTTTGGTTGAATCCATGGATGATAACCATGGATAGACAGGGCTGAATGTGATGGCTCTTTGATTATCCATGGCTTCTCTCCCACATGTTGATAAAGAGATGCAGCAAGAAATTCACAAAGTAAAATGATAGTAGAAGCCAACCTAGGGCTGGAAATGGTGCTGAACATAAGTCTTGCTTCCAAATCCATTGTTACACCCACATGCATGTGCAAACTATGCATGAAAGCCCTTTTACATTCTCTTTCCTGTCCATGTTTATTATTACCATACCTAAGAAGTGTAAGCACTAGCTAACCATTCCACATACTATTTCTACTACTATCACTCAACTTCTTACCACCACTACCACATTATAATAACAGCTAACATGTGTTAGGCACGTTGTAGGCACCAGACACTATTAGGAGCTTTGCACCAACCACCTCAGTTAAAATCCTCATAGTAACCATATAAAGCAGGCTTTTAATATCCTACGATATAAATGAGGAAAGGAGAATTTGAGAGGTTAAGAACTTGTCTAACGTCACACAGCCAGTGAGCAGCAGAACCAGAATTCGAGGCCAGGTCTGTCCAACTCCAGGTCTTTACTACTCTTGTTACAAAGGTTTTCTTTCCTATGGAGAGTAACTATATTGTATTTGAAGCCTGCAAAATGACGTAACAGCTTTATATCCCTAGAAGAAAACAAATAGTGTTCTGCTTTTTACCTCAGTTTTCCCCCTTGAGTTCTGCCAAGCCATTGAGAAGCAATATACAAGAAAAGTAAATACAAAGACAACATGATATAAGTACTTTTGCCAAGCAAATTCTTCGATTTACCTGTTAAAATGATGCCTATAAACATCCAGACACAGAGAAAAATGTTCCCTGCTCTAGGACTGTAGTCTGATGTGAGCTTTCCTTGAGCCAATGTGAACAAAATTCCAAATATCTAAAATAAAATAAGAAAAAGAATTCTTATTACATTGCTTCTTTAAAACAAGTATGACGTTTTCACCAGAACTTTTCTCAACTTATTTTGTTCGTATGATTTGGCTTCTGGAAACATTCGTTGAAAAGTGGAATTGTTAAAACAAAAACCCACAGTCAAACTCCTTATTCACAAAATATTTGATTAAAAAAAAATCCTCTCAGGTTTAAAGAAATCAGAGGTTTACCTGTGCAGCAGCATTAAGAAGACCAGATGAAGTGCCTTCCGATTCAGGGTAAGTGATTTCGACAGCAAATTCAAAACCCAAGGGGAGGTAACCAGTCATGAAGAAACTAGGAAAATAAACCCAGAATCGCAGAAAGAATTATCAGAAGAACAATAGCACACATTGGGGCCAGGCACAGTGGCTCACACTTGTAATCCTAGCACTCCAGGAGGCCAAGCCGGGAGGATCACTTGAGCTCAGGAGTTCGAGACCAGCCTGAGCAAGAATGAGACCCCATCTCTACTAAAAATAGAAAAAATTAGCTGGGTGTGATGGTGCATGCCCGTAGTCCTAGTTATCAGGAAGGTTGAGGCAAGAGGATCACTTAAGCCCAGGAGTTTGAAGTTGCCATGAGCTAGGCTGACGCCATGGCACTCTAGCCTGGGCAATAGAACAACATTCTGTCTCAAAAAAACAATATCACATATTGATATGTAATCATTCTACCTCTCAGGCCTATTAATGATCAAATAAGTGAATACTTTGAAGCTGCTATGTGAAAATAAGGAACTATCATTGACCAATCAGCACAAGGTCACAAGAACTGGGAAGCAAAATAATTCCCAAGTTTTTTTTTTCCTGAGAAAAATTTGCCTCTAGTTTTATAAGTCAATTGTCTTTGTAAGCAAATAAAGTTTCTTGGATTAAGTAAGGCTTATCTGTTCTTTACATGTAGTATATCGAAAAGCAATTTTAAACTATTTTTTATAGTTCTTAAGAATTATACATTCACAGGCACAGAACGGATCCTTTAAAATTGAAAGTATTAAAGAGCCTTTGGATAAACCAAAAAAAGTTAAAATCCAGAGTCATAACACTTCAGAATTGTAACAGCATACTATGATTCCTTCTAAACACATGTGATACTTACCCAAGGACCCCTCCAGTAACAAACACGATGATAATGTAGCCAACGTCCAACGTTACAGTAAATATAACCATTCCGATAAACGACAAAATGTAAACAATCAGAGTAGTCTGTCTAAAACAAAAGCAACAAAATTATTAGTATTTTGTCTGATTCTCCTAGGCACATGAAAATCGTGGCTAGCTATTGCTCTATCTCTGCAGTAATATGTTTTGGTTTTTCGAAATTCACCCCTTCTTCTTGTCAATGGAAAATGTATCCACCAAAGCATAGACTTTAATGCTTAAGTTTAAGATTTCACAGCAGCAAACAACAAAACCTACACCACATCCAATGTTTAGATAACAAGGGGATACTTACATGGATGAAATCATTTTTTATGCCACCAAATGGGATATTCCCTATTCATGTTTCGATATTCAGCTCAAATTCTACCTCTTCCAAATGCCTTCCTCCCCTACAGCAGCTTACTAAGATTCTCTTTTTCTTCCAAACTCCCTTATCATTTACTACTATATAATTGGCACTTGACATCTACTGGACTTATGACAACTATTTTAGTGTTTTATATTGCTATTTAACTTTTCACGTGTGAATGCCTCATTTTCCCCATTTAGACCACAAGTGTCTTAAGGACAGCAATCATATATTGTTTGAGGCAATTCCTCACTAAGAGGTATGCCTACAGTAGGAATTTGGTCAATGAATGGCAGTTACTCTAAGAATACCAGGGTGACAAAGAACACATTTCCATGCCTTTCATGTTTTCTAGATATATAACAGATGAAAGACTACTAAGAAATTTAACCTTGTACATATGCTGCCTTTGTCTACAAATTGTATGGGTTTCACTCTAAGCTGTCATCTCATAATAATGAAGCCACAAGGCCGGGCGCGGTGGCTCACGCCTGTAATCCTAGCTCTTGGGAGGCCGAGGCGGGCGGATTGCTCAAGGTCAGGAGTTCGAAACCAGCCTGAGCAAGAGCAAGACCTCGTCTCTACTATAAATAGAAAGAAATTAATTGGCCAACTGATATATATATAAAAAATTAGCCGGGCATGGTGGCTCATGCCTGTAGTCCCAGCTACTCGGGAGGCTGAGGCAGGAGGATCGCCCGAGCCCAGGAGTTTGAGGTTGCTGTGAGCTAGGCTGACGCCACGGCACTCACTCTAGCCTGGGCAACAAAGCGAGACTCTGTCTCAAAAAAAAAAAAAAAAATGAAGCCACAGCGAGTGCTGTCTTAAATTACGGGAGAAGCATCTTGGAGAATTTCAAGATCAGAGATACTCTGGGTAGGGTTTAGAATAATAGTATCAAATGTATCTTGAGCCTTGAAAGGTACATAGGACATGGTTCCATATTTTATTCATTCAGTTTATTTCATTCCATTCATTTGTTTACTCCGTTTCATTCATTCATTTCCCCAAGCACATGGGGAATTTTTGGCCTATTAAAAAATGTAGCAATTCTTTTAAGTTCCAGAACAAAAGATGCTGCCTCTGAAACCTTTCTCCGTCTTCCAGTTGGTAATCACCCACTTTTTCTTTTGTATCAGCATTTTGCTGGTTCTGTATAGATGCACAATCAACATAATATTTTCATTTTTATGCATTATATTATAATTAAGTGGTGGTGTAGTTTGGGGACCTTTAGCTAAAAAGTTTACCAAAATAAAGACTTATGCTTAACAAAAAATTTTTGATGTCGAAAAACACAACTTTTTTTTTTTTAGCCCACAACATAAGAAAAGAATAAGATAAAGTCTAGCAAAAGTCAAATGTTTCTCAGAAAGTACTCTTTTTTAGAAGAGAAATAATCCCTTTGGAAGTGGTATGTACGAGTATTGTTAGGGGGAAAGAAGGCTCATAAGGTATCCAAGTTCTCCAAATTGAAATAATATGACCAATAAAATAATATAACACATAGAATATTGAACCATTCATTAAGTGAAGGGAACCTACAAGTGTTTAGAATCCAAGGTTTTAAGTAATAATAACACTTTATAAATTTCTTAAAATAAAAAGTTTCCTTTAAAATCAAAATACCTTTGGTTATATACCATACATGTATTATCTACTTTCACTTACTTGTATGTTTTGGTATAATCCAGCCATAAGCCACAAAGAATAGAGCCCACCATTCCAGCTACTACCAGCGTTAGCCCAATCCTTCCAGCATTCACTTCTTCTCCCTGCAAACAATTTGCATAAGAAGTTAATCAGATCCTGCTAATTCAAATGGACTCTTCGAATTCCCATACCTCTTCATATTCCATGGAAACAATCTGATAAAATTAGGCACAAAATAGGAAGAGCCAGTACATGTGCTAGGGTGGAAGGGAAGGGCAGATAAAGACTATATAAAGGGCATTCTATTTTAAAGCCAGAAAAGAAACCCTCAAATAATGGGAAGAAATAAAAAAAAGAAAATATTCCTTGGTCCTCTATTGTTAGAATTATTAATACAATGATTTTTGTTACGATTCTTAAGTATAGTCATGTACTACATAATGACATTTAGGTCAACATCAAATGCATATATGACAGTGATCCTCAAAGATGGTAATACAATATTTTTATTGTACCTTTTCTATGTTTAGTTTAGATAAACAAATACCATTGTGCTACAGCTGCCGACAGTATTCAGTATAGTAACATGCTCTATCATGTTTGTAGCCTAGTAGCAGTTATAGATTATGCCATTTAGGTCTGCCTAAGTACACTCTATGATATTTGCACAATGACTGAAATCACCTACTGAATTTCTCAAAATGTACCTCTGTCATTAAGCAAGGCATGATTTCTGACAGATGTCAGAAAAATAGGTTAATCCAATAGCTTTTACATAGTACAACTGCTTTCTCCTTTCAAATGCAAAAAGAAATCAGTCAGAACTTGATATTTACTTCATATTGATTTCCCTTAAAATGTTTTATCTTTTATGTATAACCAATCACATTATTTCTTAATATTTTATCTTTTTAAAAAATATTTTTAAATAATGTTTTGTTGTTTGGCTGGATAACACTATAGTTTGCTTGCTTGCTTTCCTTTCTTTTCTTTCTTTCTTTCTCTTTTTTTTTTTTTTTTGAGACAGAATCTTGTTCTGTCGCCTGGGCTAGAGTGTGGTGGTATTAGCCTAACTCAAAGCAATCTCAAATTCCTGGGCTCAAGGGATCCTCCTGCCTCAGCCTCCCAAGTAGCTGGGACTACAGGCACATGCCACCACACCTGGCTAATTTTTCTATTTTTAGTAGAGACGGGATCTCGCTCTTGCTCAGGTTGGTCTTGAACTCCTGAGCTCATGTGATCCTCCCCGATCAGCCTCCCAGAGTGCTAGGATTACAGGCATGAGCCACTGCGCCCGGCCACCTCTCTAAATCTTTAGACGTGGTGCTCCCCGATATCTGAATCACTAGTTAAAGCTAATGAGATCTTTAAACCAAATTTGTGGACATTTTATTTCTTAACAAATATAGTCTCAATTAAAACATATGTAAATCTTTTACAGCAATAAGGTCATAATCCTTAATCTCATGATCCTGCTAACAGGAATTGTATTGCTAAAGAAAAATTCGTGGACAGGCATGCAATATAAAAAGGGTAAGTAGACGCTTACCTCATAATATGTCAATATTATTTGATTTAGTAACGTTGAGACTGAATAAAATGCTCCAGTCATGATACCTAGAATAATAAAGGGAAAATTTTCAGTGTGTCATTTACCAGTTCATGAAGTGACATGGAATACCATGTGACAATTGTGAAAATATAATGTATTTCTTGGACAGTTGACAAAGAAAATTGAAAAACTATTGCCATTCCCTTTCATTATATAGATTGATCAATTTAACACCTACATTTACTAGAGATATGATAATACAATTCTGTCCTAATATTATTATTATTTAGATTTGAGATATACTGACCATAAATCATATCCCCATATATAAAACTGTACGTGGCAACCAACCAGGCAGTGAATTGTGTTTTGTTTTGTTTTGTTTTTGAGACAGGGTCTCGCTCTGTTGTCCAGAGTAGACTGCAGTGGCATCATCATAGCTCACTGCTCACCCCAAACTCCTGGGCTCAAGCGATCCTCCTGCCTCAGCCTCCCAAGTAGCTGGGACTACAGGTGTCAGCCACCATGCCAGCCTAATTTTTTTTCTAATTTTTTGTAGAGATGGAATCTTACTATGTTGCTGAGACTAGTCTCAAACACCAGGCCTTAAGTGATCCTCCTGCCTCTGCCTCCCAAAGTGCTAGTAATTGCAGGCATGAGTCACCGTGCTTGGCTCAAGCAGTGGATTATTTATTGAGCGCCTACAATGTTTTATACTATAGCCAACAAATGTTCAAAGCATAACAGAATCCCTGCTTCAGAGATGTTACCCATATGTTAAAGGCTTACTAGGCAATTCATAAGGCAAAGTTAATTAAAAAATACCTAAACAGGCCGGGCGCTGTGGCTCACGCCTGTAATCCTAGCTCTTGGGAGGCCGAGGCGGGCGGATTGCTCAAGGTCAGGAGTTCAAAACCAGCCTGAGCAAGAGTGAGACCCCGTCTCTACTATAAATAGAAAGAAATTAATTGGCCAACTGATATATATATATAAAATTAGCCGGGCATGGTGGCGCATGCCTGTAGTCCCAGCTACTCGGGAGGCTGAGGCAGGAGGATCGCTTGAGCCCAGGAGTTTGAGGTTGCTGTGAGCTAGGCTGACGCCACGGCACTCACTCTAACCTGGACAACAAAGTGAGACTCTGTCTCAAAAAAAAAAAAAAAAAAAAAAAAAAAAAAAAAAACCTAAACAGAGAATAAAAACAGCTGGTTTCAGGAATCATATGACTAGGTTTAAACTCTGGTCTCTCCTTGCATGTATTGTATGAATTTAAGTAAGCTTCTAAACCTGGCTGAGACTTAAGTTTATTATTTTTCTCTCTCTTTAAGTATTTCCAACACATAAGATAGTATAGAGAATAATATAACAAATACCCTTACTTATCACTCGGATTTGTTAAACATTTATATTTTGCCATCTTTGCTTCAGATTCATTTTTTACACTTTTCCCAATCCTATTCTCTCTCTTCCTCCTCAAAGAAGGGAATCCAGGTTGCAATCCCCATGAGAATCTGACGACCTAACGCCTCATGATCTGAGGTGGAACCCGGGCAGCCACACCACCTGCCTCCCGATCGAAAACCCGTCTTCCTCAAAACCCATCCCTGGTGTCAAAAAGGTTGGGGACTCCTGCTCTATGAGAACTCAAAAAAGAAGATAGATAGCACTCATCTGTTTGAGAACTACTTTCTTTTTTTATTTTAAAAGCAAGTAAGAGGCATCCTGAATTTTTTGCTTTTAGTTCAAAATTTAAGTTCACGACTATGCTATAATTATTTGTATAAAGTTAACAACCAATCTCATTAAAGTTCAAACCACTGGGTTAAATGAAATGAATCCACAGTGCTCCAAGATTTGTACAGACATCAAAGAAAATACAACAAGACCACTTACCATAACTGATCAACAGAAGGACAAAAGGAATGTTTTTAAACAGGTTTCTGATTGATTTCTTATAGGAGTACTCTTCGGGGGGGCTGTCTCGAAGAACTGCTTGAGCCTGACTTGGTGGATACTGAGGTTTTTCTTTGAAAGCTGAGAATATACATGAAAAGGATTAGATATAATTAAGATATATGTGATATTTTGTTAAATATATGTAATTAATTATATGTATCCTTTTAGTGAGCAGACAAATTTCAGTTTAAGTTTAAAAAGGTACTGAGAGTCTTTTATGATGAGGTTTTTTTATTTTCACGGATTTCTAAGTGAAGAATGGTTTGGTAGTATCATCTCAGGCCTCTGAAACCGACGAAGACTCAAGAGATTTGGCCAACTCACAGAACTGAATTTGCAAAACTATCAATAATATGCCACAACCTCGCCCACTGATTATTCCATTTTTACTTAAGCAAAATTAACTTTTACCATATCAAATAATCAACAATTCTATTTTAAAATTCAGTTCAATTTATAATTAGAGGTAAACATCAGATATGAACAAACCAATATATTTTGGACCTTCCAAAGGACGGTCTTGGGTTAATAATTATTTTGAAATCTGAAATTTGATATAAAGTTTATCATCGGATCCAATTACACCTGGGGACTGAAAAGGTCCAGGTGGATGCACTGAAGCAGAGCTAGGACTTTCTTGCTGACTCACTAGAGCTGCATATGGAAAGAGTAGGGGTAGAGCTAAGAGACATAAAAGTGTAATATCTGGTGTCTGATACTATAAGTTTTAGCAGTGTCCATTTCTAGTTAAGAGATGTCACAGCCTTCTCAGCCAGACATCTAGAGAGTACTATTTTGCTGGGCAGAAAAGGATCAACCAACTTCCTGCAAAAGATGGTTTGGGAGAGATTTCTACAGGGTTAGGCTAATCAGAAGTCAAGACTAATTTATAGAAAGAATGAACTTCTAAAATCTGGTATGTCAGAAACTAAAATCTAGTTTTTGTATTGACTCAAAATTTTTAACTACTGACTCAAATATTTTAACCACAAGAGAAGGAAAATACTGTATTTCATTGAATCTAAGATACTCTGATGTTTATACTCAAATGATGCTGCCAGGGATCAGTAAAAAGTTTTCACATAACCATGTCTCTGTTACCATAAATGTTAGATGTCATTATTAAAAGCATGTTGATTGCAGAGATTTCATTTTAAAAAGTAAACCTTAGAATTGATGAAATGGGGTAAATTTAAAAAGAAGATAAATGGATTTTTTAAAAAGGAATATTTTCTGGAAGATTAGAATTTCTTCATCTTTTTCTCTTTTCCTTTCATTCTTTTTTTGATATTGGCTATTTCTTTATTCTAGCAAGGAAGGCCTGCTTTGTAATTTGAAAGTGGGTTAGATCTGATGAACCTGTCCGTCAACTGGAATCAACTGGAAATTTAAAAATAATACAGGTTTTGAGACTCTACCCAAGATTCAATGAATCAGAAACTCCAGGATGGAACCTGGGAATTTATATTAAAATAAGTAAAACTCCTCAAATGCTATCAAAAGCCAGGCAAGTTTGAGAACAACTGGGAAAAAAAAGAAATGACCCTTACAACTCCCATGAAATACTATAATTCTTTAATTCTCCTGTTTGCTGCTAAAAATAAAATATTAAAGTTCTTCGCTGACCAAAACATCAAACTAAAACATGTATTTTTTTTTTCTTAAGACAAAGTCTTGCTCTGCCTCCCTCGCTAGAGTGCAATGGCATCATCATAGCTCACTGCAACCTCAACCTGCTGGGCTCAAGCGATCCTCCTGCATCAGCCTCTGGAGTAGCTGGGACTACAGGTGCACACCACCACGCCCAGCTAATTCTTCTATTTTTCGTAGAGACAGTGTCTTGCACTTGCTCATGCTGGTCTCAAACTCCTGACCTCAAGCAATCCTCTCCTGGCTTGGGCCTCCCAAAGTGCTAAGATTACAAGCACCCAGCCACATACTTTTATTTTTATAGATCTCACAACTAATTCAAGAGGAGATATAAGTCGTAAGTATTTACTTTTTAATATCCTTACATTAGAGGACTGGTAGACATAAAACATTTAAATTGTTGCAATTCTTCCTCTTCCTTTCACCCTATATGTTCTTTGCACTGTTAGGATGTCTGCTGTCCTTTCCTGAAAGCCTCTCTGTATCCTAGTTAGACAGGAGAGATCTCTTTTTATTAACAGTGGTAATACATAACTCACACAGTTGTAAAACAAAGTTTCAGAATGTAAAAACTATGCTTACAGGTCATGGGTATTTATGACTCTTACCTCTCTACTTAGGTTTTTATTTACTATGGTAAAATAAGTCTAAATGGCCTAAACCTGAACTCAAATGCAAAAAAAAAATGAAAACAATTCTTGCCAGTATTTAACTCCACTACATTTATTTTCTGAATACAAGTGTTATCTTTTAGTTCCAGACAGTCAGTCTTTTGGCAAAAATCGAGCCCTTATCTACCATCTACATGCTGTCGTAAGGTCAAGCTTAAGTCTATACAAAGAAAAAGAAGAACAAAAAGCCATTGGATTATGCCCTTGTTTATCCTGAAATGCTACTTTGAAACGATGAAACATGGCTTTTTCTTCCTCCTTTGAAACTGAAAAATAAAGCTACCACTGTCTTCTCTTCTCCCCACCAAAAACTTGCACCAATAAAATAACTATCAGTTATTCTCCACCCCTGGCATTAGGCATATAAAGTAGCCACCGCGTTCTAGAACACCACATTCAAACTTTTCCTCCCATGATGAATAAGCAGTAAATCTATTACTGCTGTTTAGGGCCACTCGTACTTTTCAAAATCAAGTTATAACGTTATCTTTTGATTTCATTAGTTGTCCTTGCGTCATTCAAGCAAATATTACACATATTGCCTTACTGTAAGAAAAATAAAAGTTTGAATCCTGGCTGTGCCCCAACTCACCGTATGACTTCGAGGAAGTCAATTCCTGTCCCTCCACTTTAGCTTTCTCATGGAAGTAACAATAACAAGCTGTTATGAGGATTAAATGATATGATATATGTAAAAGGATTTTGTAATTATTGTGACACGAAATATGTGGTCTTTTTAAAGAAATATTTATTTTAAATAATCAGAAACTTTGCCTCAGGAGTGTGAATTCTTACAGACTAAGTAAAAAATATTTTTCTGGAAAGTTTACAGCCTATAGTTGTCTTAAATTTTTAAGAATCAAAAGTAAAATTATACATACATGTTACACAGTCGCGTGCTTAAGTACATGAATATTAAATAATTTTATTGTGATTACTTTCAGTTTATGTCATCCACTCATCTTAGTAAATCAGGAAAGGATTTTAATTGACAAACTTGAGTTAAACGACATTTTGCTGTTCTGCGCAAAAACAGCTTTTAAATATACCGCATTAACACTTATGGAAGAGGAATTTGAATTGGAACAAAAGGAAGGCTGAGTAAAAATTAAAATGATATGTACTTATATATAACATTTTATATATGGAGTTAGATTGCCTAGACTTAAATCTGACCTTCAATGTTTACTAACTGTGACCTTGGGCAAATTAGATTTACTCAAGTTCTGTGCCCCAGTTTCCTCATCTATAAAATGGGAATAATAATAATAATGGAAACATCCTCATAGGGTTATAAAGATTAAATGAGATACAGTATGTAACATGCCCTTAAACATGTTTGGCACATATCAACCAACCAAATGTTAGAGGCCATAATAGAGTTCCCCCAATAGGAATGGGGACTGGTGTGAAATTCAGTGGAGTTTGGGTAAATTCCTAGAAATCCCAGACAGATTACCCTCACATGAAAACTACATGAAGGAAGGGAATAGGGTTACATAGCATGACCCTTCAAGACAGTATTTTAGGAAGATTGACTATCAATTTAGTACATGTTATATTCCTGAAAAATTCAACGAAACTAAATTGTAAGCATTTGGTTGGACTTGCAAAGTAATTATTAGTAGAATTTAGAGGGAAGTAAGATCATCTCTTAGTAATTAATTAACTTTAAGTATTTTTTAAATAATCCAAATTTTCCTGAATAACAAATACTTGGGTATGAGGGAAACAAGTAGATTTTCCATTTAAATGTGACAATTTCCAGCTTAAGACTTTCATATTGTAAAGTTTTTGGCAGCGAGAGGAAAAGACGGACAAAGTAGGGCCAAACAATGTGGCTTTACTGAGCGCTCCTGGGTGAGGTTCGAGGGTCCCAAAGGCTCCGGCCCGAGAAGCTGCACCCGTTTGGAGGGGGTTAGGGATTTTATACTGTTTGAGGCAGACCGGGAACTTTTGGCGGGAAGAGCTGGGGATTTTCCACTGTGACTTTTGGTGGTTACTGAGAAATAGGAGGGGCTGGCGGTATTTGTGGAATCCCGGAACCGAAACTTGGGTATGGACTCCAGGGACTGAAACTTTCTCATCCTCATGGGCATCTGGGAGTGGTCATTCTTTAGCTTAGCTGGGCCTAGCAGTTATTTTTGTGGGTCTTGTGGGCTTCTACTTTTCCCTTGTGGGAGGGGAGGGGGTGCCCGCCACCAGCTTTACACATATCACAGCTATATATTATCTTGCTTTTATACTATGCTTGGTATTATAAGATTAAAATTATAAACCACTAAACAAAACTTGACAGAGTCCTTTTTCATTCCAATTTTTTCCCATTTCCCCATCTCTATTTCTACTCTCTACCCATAAGCCATGAGTGCATAAATAATTAAGTATACAAATAGCCCTCTCTTTTAATTTCTCAAACAACACAGAGTGATATGCCAATGGTCACACCTATTATTATTGTTCTTTGTCTCTCTCCTTTGACAAATAAAAATCTTATATTTGTAGCAATTTAAACATACATGCACATATGTTATATATATATAATTTCATATCTACAGCTATCTTATATGTAATCTATAATTCTCACTTCTTCTAAAGAGACAAGCAATTGAAGATTAAAAAAAAAATGAAAACCAGAATTTATGTGAAGAAAAATAAGCAATCAAAGACCAAAGAGGATTTTGTATTTTAAAAATCCCTATTGCCAATGGAAGGGCCATTTATACAAAAAGTATATAAACACTATTTCCTATTTCATCTAGGAAATCAAATATGGCTACCAGAAAAGCATATTGAAGGTGTTTTTGTTTTTTAACAATATAGATTTCTTTCAAAACTTTGTTAAACTAAACTAAAATAGTACATGGGTCATTTGTTCTTTTTTAGTAGTCTGGACATAGCAAATATGCCACTCCCTGACTAACTGAAAACAAAAACCAACCATAAGAAGATCAGACATGTCAGAATACTTCATATGCTACCAAGAGAACATTTTTTTTATTATCTTAAGGGAAATTAAGTATGTGGGCTGAGCTTCTTCTACCAAGCCTGTCTCTACTGAAACACTCTAGAGTCTTCAGCATACATTTCTTTGAAAACTGAGGATTTCATATCTGGAGATCATAAAATAGGAATTTTTCATTACTACTATAGCCATAGTCAAAATATACAAAAATTTCAAACTCCAGCTATAATACAATTTAATTATAAGTTTTAATGATGAAAAGACAGCTTTTCAACTTTTTTAGTTCCTTTCCTCTTCAAATCAATTTACATATATTGAGTGTCTAAAGGGCAATATTGCAGTTATGTTAGCAGCTATATTACTTAAATAAACCCTACTTATCCGTTTCCCTGAAATCAAAACTATTTTCCATTAAAAATAAACTTAAAAAAGCAGGCCTTCCCAAAGCTTCTTCCAAACTGGTGACGGCTGCTTGCAGCTGATTTTGACTGACTGCTTCAAGAGACAGAGGACTCGGTGACGAGGGTGGCAGCCGTGCTTTGCTGGAATGGCCTAACAAGCAGATAGTTGCCACAGTTTGAAATTCTGCTGAACAGCTGGCTGCTGCCCGGGATCATTCACTGGCCAATATTTTCAGATCCAGGTCAGGTGCGATGGCTCACGCCTGTAATTCTAGCACTCTGGGAGGCAGATTGCTCGAGGTCAGGAGTTCGAAACCAGCCTGAGCAAAAGCGAGACCCTGTCTCTACTATAAATGGAAAGAAATTAATTGGCCAACTAATATATATAGAAAAAATTAGCCGGGCATGGTGGTGCATGCCTGTAGTCCCAGCCACTGGGGAGGCTGAGGCAGCAGGATTGCTTGAGCCCAGGAGTTTGAGGTTGCTGTGAGCTAGGCTGACGCCACGGCACTCACTCTAGCCTGGGCAACAAAGCGAGACTCTGTCTCAAAAAATAAAATAAAATAAAAAATATTTTCAGATCCAGTGGATCATAACACATCGCTAGGGTTATAGCATTCATTACCTGACCAAAACAGTGCATGGCAAGAACGAAACAAGCAAATGGCATTTGAGATACTATCAATACAAAATTTCAGGGTTACTTTCAAATTTTTGTCATGCATTTATCTTAAGCTATAGGGAAAATAATTCACTTACCAATTATGGTCAAAATAAATAAAAGTGTGGCAACAGCTGATGTTCCATAAAACATGGTGCTGATATTACAAGCCAGGATGTTGGTGTCATTCTGTGTGTTGGGCACTAAAACAGGTGGTAGCAAAAAGCCGATCGCAGTGCCAAGCTGTAAAATAAATAATACTGTTAACAGCTATTCTCATTAGAGAAAAAAGTAAGTACTGGCAGTGAATAGAACGTAAAGAGGACAGGTAGTGTTTATGTTTTCATGTATTTGTTACTACTATACTGTTAAAGAGAAATTGCTGATCAATGTCTTTCCTATTTAAAAAACATTTACTGAGATCCTACTATCTGAATAATGCTGCTATAAAGTTGGGTAAGATGCATTCCTTGACTTTGAGATGCTCACCATCAAAAAGGGGAATAAGAGTATGCAAACTAGGGCTAAGAGAAAACAACCTGTAGAATGTGAGAAAATATTTGTAAGTCATATATGTCATAAAAGTCTAGTATCTAGGACATATAAAGAACTCTTACAACTCAACAACAAAAAGACAAACAACCCAATTAAAAAATGGGCAAAGGACTTGAACAGACATTTCTCTAAGTATATACAAACGGCCAATAAGCATATAAAAATGCTCAACATCTTTAGTTATTAGAGAAATGCAAATCAAAACCACAATGAGATACCACTTCATACCCAGTAGGATGCCTATAATAATAACAATAATAATAGCAGCTCTACTGCAATATCCAAAAGGTGGAAATGATCCAAACATCTATCAACAGGTGAATGAATAAATAAAATATGGTATAAACATACAATGAAATATTACTCAGGTATAACTAGGAATGAAGTACTGATATAGTGCTACAACATGGATGAACTTAGAAAACATGCTAAGTGAAAGAGCCAGATATAAAAGGTCACATCTTGTATGATTCTATTTATATGAAACATCCAGAATAAGTAAATACATAGAGAAGACTTGCCAGGGGCTAGAGAGTGAAACTCCCTAGTGTGTATTGGGTCTTAACTTTAGGGGTGGATGAAAATGTTTTGGAACTAGATGGATGTGATAGTTGCACGACTTGTAATGTGCTAAATGGCACTGAATTGTTCACATTAAAATGGCTAATGTTATGTAAATTTCACCTCAATTTAAAAAATAAGGCTAAACATAATAATCACAAAACAAATAAAATCAAAATATTAATGAAGGAGGTTCAACGGAGGGAAATACGATTTTGGGGGAGGGTGGAGGTGAAAAGGAAGGGCCCAAGAAAGGTTTCAAAGAAGCTGAGACAGAGATAGTAACATTTATCAAATATTTTATTTGCTCTCTTACAAAAAGCTGGGTAGAGAGAACATATACAGAACTCTTACAACTCAACAACAAAAAGACAAACAACCCAATTTAAAAATGAGCAAAGGAGTCGAACAGACATTTCTCTAAGGATATACAACAGGTAATTACAAGTGAGGGTGGAAATACAGAACTGTGATAGAGAAGTAGAGAGTGTCAAGACTGGGGAGACCATGTAATTTATTAACCAAACCAGAATAATGTTCAGTGTGAAAGGGATTTCATTAGCATTAATAATTATGCCAGACAACAGGTCCTAGGCAAACTGGGACATATGGTCACCCTAACTAAGAGAGCACTTTGGAAGGGCACCTTGTATAGACTTGCGATTCAGGAAAAGTTCATGGAGAAGCAAACATCTGAGTAAGAAATTGGAGTTAGCTAAGAGAAGGACAAATGCTCCAAATCAAAGGGACATTACGTACAAGACCAGGAAGGAGAGAGCATGACCTTGTCAGAAACTAAGTTTGGCACAGAGCAGAGAAAGAGCATGCATGGGGATGGGGACTGTGGAGAGAGGTGAGTCAAAAGAGCTGGCAGGAGGCAGATCTGGAAGGTCTCACATGTGACCTCAGAGAGTTTTTGAGTCTCATCCTAAGGACAAAGAAAGCTATTGCAGGGGGTAAGTTAGTGCCCAGAACAGATCTGCACACTATAAAGATCATACCAGATGAATGGAGAACAGAGGGAAGACAGCAAAAGCTGCAGATAGGAGATAAGTTAGCAAGCTCTAGGCCAGAGCTGCAGGGGTGGCCCAAGCTAAAGATAGTGGCAGTGGAGGCGAAGGGAAATGAGTCAGGAGACAATGAACTAGGCAGATTTTGAGTGGTGGGGTCCTATGAGATATCCAAGTAGAATATCCAGCTGCCAGTATATTAGTCCGAAGCTCATTCATTTATTCAACACATTTTTATAGAGAGCCTAAAATATGCCAGGCGCTGTAATAAATGCTGGTGATACAGTTGTATACATTCAGACCACATGCCTAGTTTCATAAAACTTACAATCTAATGGTAGGGATGGGAGATGAGTAATAGATAGAAATTAACATAGAAACATATAAATATGTAAACAATAAACATGAGGCAGGGATAAGTGCTATATGGAGAATTACAGAATAATAGTAACAGAGTGACAGGCAACTCTAAATGGAATCAAGAAATGCCACTGAATGAGATTTAAAATGAATTTAAACTGAGAGGTAAGTTACGAAGAGGATGTAATCATGTGGTTTCAGGAAGAAGAACATTCCAGGCAGAGGGAATGCTTCTGCAAATGCCCTTAAGCAAGTACAAACTTAACTGTTGTTTGAGGAACCAAAGAAGGGTTAGGGTTAGGGTTAGGGTTAGGGTTAGGGTTAGGGTTAGGGGTAGGGTTAGGATTGGGTTAGGGTTAGGGTTAGGGTTAGGGTTAGTGTCTACACTAGTAAAGTTTTATATTATAATTCAGAGTAAAGAGTTTATATTTTAAGTACTATAGGACATCACTGGCAAGTTCAAAAAGCAGGGCAATGACATGATTCGATCTATGTTTTAAAACGTTCTCTCTGGTTAGAGACCTGGCAGTACAGATGGGTAATCAAAAGCTAGGATTCAGGAACCAGATAGACTTGAGTGTGAATGTTGCCACCAACTAGCTGTGGCCTTTGGAAAATAATTTCATCCCTTCAAGTCTCAGTTTCCATATACACACAATGGGAAGACCGATAGTTCCCACCTGACAGTATTAAATTGAATGCCACAACGCATGCAAAGCACTTGGCATGCCTCCAGGCTCTTAGTGAGTGCTCGATAAAGCTGAATATTACTGTGAATAATCACTTCATAGCCTAAGCTGAAAACGCATACTTGGGAGTCATGAGCAACTAACTGTACAGCTACTGGAGCCAACGAAGGGTGAGAACACTCGAGCAGAATGTAGGAAGAAGGCCCAGAGGTGTGCAGTTTGAGGAAAGTTTGTCTATGAGTAAATGTTTCCATTTATTATTCATAAAATAGTTTATCCATAGATATGTTGTTGATAATATTTTTGTCATGCTCGATGAAGTATTAATCTTGAATATAATTTTGTAAAGGTACAAATAAGAAAACAGCTCTTATCCAAACATGCAGATGTAACCAACTAAAGTTATCAGCCATAAATTATTTTGGATACAAAACAACTATAGTTCAAACTACCCCTTCCTCTGTACTTTTAGATAAAGGAAATAAAGATAAAGCAATAAGCAAGTACAGTTAGTCCTTTTATGTATTTTAAATCAATCTGACTGTGATCTTGAGATTAGACCAGGTAGGAAAGTAACAATATTTTGTTACATAACTACATGTAGCAATATATGTATAGAGAGAACTGAAGATTTTAGTATACATATTTTTAACTAGATTCCCCTCCAGGTGAGGAGATATAACTTAAAGAAAGTATCACAGGACCCTTTATACAGAAATTAAATTACAGTAAAATAATCAGTCTGCAATTTAAAACATACACAAAACATTTTACCTAGAAATGCAACTGGAATGCTAATGGAATTTGAACCTATGGTATTAGGAAAGACTAGCTCATTCCTTAATGGAGACTTGGCAAAGTAAGCCACTCTTTTCCAATGGATTTCCTGATGTGTGATTTGTCTTGCACTGTTTTACTGTTAAAAGTTGGTAATTGGACTCGGTAACGCTGTGAAGTCCTTACCACCAGCAGAACATTTAGAATTCTTTTGTTGTTGTTTGGAGACAGGGTCTCACTCTGCTGCCTGGCTGTAGTGCAGTGGTGTCGGCCTAGCTCACAGCAACCTCCAACTCCTGGGCTCAAGCAATCCTCCTGCTTCAGCCTCCTGAGTGGCTGGGACTAGGGCACTGGCCACCACGCCTGGCTACTTTTTCTATTTTTTTGTAGAGATGGGCATCTTGTTATGTTGCCCAAGCTGGCAGCAGTAATTTATAAGTGCCCCTTAGGGACCAAGCGCTGTGCTGACTGCTAATATATAAAATTAAACAGAAGCTGTTCATAATCATCACTCAAAATGGAAACAATCTTCCACAAAGAATATACTGGTGACAAAAACTATACCTACTCGAGTCTTGTTCATTATTGCACTGACAAGTTTTCTATGATATCAGTTAGGCATATACAGACCAACACAGCTAATTATTTTATAGGTAATTTTCAAAGCAAGAGGAAAAGGTGGTCACTTGAAACTGTTCTGTTTTGTTTTGTTTTTTTCCTAGACAGTCTCGCTTTGTCGCCCTGTCGCCCCGGCTAGAGTGCAGTGGTGTCAGCCTAGCTCACAGCAACCTCAAACCCCTGGGCTCAAGCGATCCTCCCGCCTGGGCGTCTGAGAGCGTTAGGATTACAGGCACGAGCCACGGCACCCGGCCCTAAACTAGTTTTAAAAATTCTGTCCTTACAAAGAAATTTAAAATGTTCTTTAATCCAAGCCTGCCTCTTGTTTTAGGACTACTCATCTCCTCTCTTTCATTTATAGACAGAGGCCTACCGAGGCTTCATCCATACAGGCCACGAGTGCCTACATGAATTTTTCTGGTCCCGACTCTCACCCATCGCGCCAGGCCTTACCTGATTGCCCAGCACGGCGGTGGCACAAGCCGTGGACACTTCTTTGGGCCCAAACCACACGGAGGCAATGCGGGAGGGCAAGCCCAGGATGAAGACCTGGGCCACGGAGCAGAGGCACTGGCCCAGCATGGTGACCCAGAAGAGATGCTGCCGCACGCTGCCGCACTTGATCCAGCTGCCCAGGCAGTTGAGGCCCGAGCCCAGCAGGGCGGTGAGCCGCAGGCCTCTGGTGTCCAGCAGCCAGGTGGCCGGGAAGATGAGGGGCACGTAGGCCAGCATGTACACCATGGACAGCCAGTCGATGTGCAGCAGGGAGACGCCGTAGAAGCCCTGGAAGACGTTGCTGATGATGCTGTACTGGATCCACTGGAAGGCGTTCACCAGCGAGTACAGGCTGAAGATCAGCAGCACCAGAAAGCGCCGCGCGGAGAGCGCAGTCCGGGGCAGCAGGGTGCTCTCGGCCCCCGGGGTCGCCTCTCCCGGGCCCGTGGGCAGCAGCCGGGCCTGGGTCTCCTCTTCCGGGGCCAGCGGGGTCTGCGGCCCGCCCAGGGCTCCCACGCCGGCCGCGGGGCTGTCCCGGGGGAACCCGTTCAGGGCCAGGCAGCCGGCTTTGGGGCCGTTCTGCGGCTCCGCGCTCTCCTGCCCTGCGGGCGCGCCCCTCGGCACCGGGAGGTACCCCTTCGCGAGCGGGTGCCCGGGCGCCACCGCGCCCGCCCTCCTCATCGTCCGGCCGCGTCATGGCCCGGGGGCCCCCGCGCCGAGGCCCCGCGGCGCGCCCGCAGTCCACCCCGGCCCGCGGCCGCCGCCGTCCCCGCGGCGCGCGCCCAGAGCCGCAGCCCGCGCTGCCCGGGCGCACAGGTGGACGGGTCGCAGCCTCGCGCCGCCGCCGCGGGTCACTCCGAGTCGGGTCCCGCCCCGGGAGCGGCGCGTCAGCGCGGTGACGGCCCCGGCCAGTGAGCGGGCGCCCTCGCCCGGCGCGGGAGCCAATCGTGCCGTCGCCGGGGGAAGGCCGGGAGGAAGGCGGGCGGGGAAGGCCACCTGGGCGCCTGTGTGCCGGGAGGGACGCCGAGCTCGGGTTGCTCCGCACCTGGGGGTGGGCGGGGGCGGCCTGGGCTGCTCGGGCTGGGAGGGGCGGCAGGAACCGAGCCGGGGAGACAAAGGCAGGCGGCTGCCTCGCCACCAAGAAGGGCTCCCCTGGGGCGCAGGCTTCTCGCCCCTGCGCAGCTGTCCGCCTAGGTGGGACCTTGGCTTGGGAGCAGACAGGACCACGTTTCGTGGATTCGTGCTCCCTCGGCGGAGGAAAGAGGCCAGAAAGCGTTCCAGTCCGGCTAGAGCGAGATTTCTGGGGAGATCTGCCCTTGGGGAACCGGAATTCCATCCGCCTCCAACACACACGCAACCCTCCCCCCAGTCCTCAGCCCGCTCACTGGCTGGAGGCGACAGAAACGAGCCACGCCGGCTCCCTTGGACCAACGCTTGTAGTTAATAGTTACTGGACACGTGGACACCCGTATTCAGTGCTGTTCAGCGGGTTCCAGGTACCAAACCTGTTTTGAACGGTATATGCCAGACATTGTCTCGGGCTCTGGGGAATGAAAAAAAAGAGAGAGAGAGAGACATATTATCTGTTCCCCAGAGCAGAGGTAGCCTTGAAGGACTTGCTGGACTAGAGAAAAGGTCAGCCCTGCTGCTCCTTAGGAAACTGTATACAAAAAAGAGAGACCCAAGTATTCATCATTAGAGCGAAAATGAAACTAAGTGTATGGGGCACAGGGGTTCTCACTATGGATTTAATCTTTTTAAGTGCTGATCTCTAGAACCCTAAAGCCCTGTACACCTTTTTAGTGCCTCTTACATTATTATTTCGGTCATGTACAAAACATAACAGGCAGCTCCCAGTACTGGTGAAATGCCACGTGTCCTAAACGGTAATGAATCTGTGCATTATAATGTCTTCCTTGCCCACTCTGTATAAATTGCCGCACACCCTCTTCCCTTTATCTTGCTTTTTCTCTTCTTTTTAGCGTTTAACACCATCTAAAATGTCTTATGTTTACTTTTTGTTCCCTCTTTTTTCCCCCCTTCCTTCCCACTGGAATGTAAGCTCCATAAAGGGACAGGGCTGAAAGTTTTGTTGCTTTTTGCTGCTGTTGCTGTTTTCCAAGAGTCTGTAAGAATATCTAGCACATAGTTGGTGTTCAGTAATTATTTATTGAATGAATGCAATTAAAGAGCATTGACTTACAATTAGATATTTTAAATAATTTCTTGATTTGTACATAAACTCATTTAAAAAAATATTTTAAATTTCCCCCACAAACATGATTTTCTAAACATTGATTAGATTACTGAGCTATGTTCTCTGAATGAACAAAAAATAACTAAATGTAGAATCCAAAGGACCTGGGCCCCAGTTAAGAAGTTTATTTTTAGAACCACATCCTTTATGCTGAAAATGGAAAAAAAAAATTAAAAAAAATTAAAAAAGTTTATTTTATCGATTTCTAAAAAATGAACTAATTGCATTGCTTAATGTTCATAAACCTCAAGCCTGTAGTCCCAGCTACTTGGAAGGCTGAGGCAGGAGGATCTCTTGAGCCCAGGAGTTCAAGTACAGCCTGGGCAACATAGAAATATTCCCATCTCTAAAATAAATAAATAATTTTTAAAAATCAGTACGATTTATTATTAAATATTCATAGCCTTTTTTTTTGTAATTTCATGTACCATGCAACCTTCTACATAGCTCACAAAAAAGCTATTCAGAAAGGGAATCCAGTGGATTGAATTTTAAATGGACTTTCTTGCTTGCTCCAGTCCATTCCGGATGTTCACAGTAAACATTTAGGTATCTGCAAACTTCCTCTTATGCAGTGGGGTTTGGAGATCATCTTGTGCCAGATCTGATGGTCTGATAGAGTGGCTTCCTGAATGTACTCCTACAGAGAGGCCATTCTTCCTGATTGTTTAGGCTCCTCCTGTTTGTTTAGTTATTTATTTATTTTTGAGACACTTTCACTTACTAGCTGTATGAACGTGGACTAGTATTGTGTGTGTGTGTGTGTGTGTGTGTGTGTGTGTGTGTGTGTGTGTGCGCGCATGCGCACATGTGCACATACCTGTAAAGTGAAAACAATACTTTTCATGAGATTGTTGTGAGAAACAAACGACTAGTAAGTATAAAGCACCTAAATGATGGGTTTCGCTCTGTCACTGGGGCTAGAGTGCAGTGGCATCATCATGGCTCATTGCAACCTCAAACTCCTGACTCAAGCGACCCTCCTGCCTCAGTGTCCCCCCCCCTCCCCTCCTCACCAATAGCTGAGACTACAGGTACACCCCACTTGGACCAGCTAATTTTTTTATTCTTTGTAGAGTCAGGGGTCTTGCTGTTGTCTCAAATTCCTGGCCTCAAGAGATCCTCCTGCCTGGGCCTCCTAGAGTGCTAGGAGTACAGGCATGAGCCACCACACGGAACCCTCATGTTTAGAGATCATTTGTCTTCTCTTTGTTCTCAGCAAGAAGGATGGGTTGGGAGTTCCCTGGGTGTCCTGGACAGCCAGTCAGCTCCTGATTTTCCTCCAGATTTTTACCAGCTGGTGCCTGTCCTACTTTTGCCCCACCGTCTCATGTGCCTTATCTGCACGTGACAAAGCTCTGTATCTGACTCTGTCACCACCTACCTGGGGCGTACCACCAAGTGGGCATAAAGGAATGGGGAAAGGAATCAGATCTAGAGACAGGCAACCTGGGTTTGAATCCCAACTTCGGCACTTACTAGCTGTGTGGCCTTGGGCAAGTTGCTTAGCTGTTTTCTAACAGGATTATAGGATCCTGCTTTGTAGGATTGTTTTGAGGATTAAATGATTCAACAATACCTGGCATGAGGTAGGCATTCTCAGTTAAAGTTAGTAAGGTGATCAAGTGTAGCAATTAAGGATTCAGGCTTTGTAGCCAAATGCCTTGAGTTCAAGTCCTAGCACTTTCACTTACTAGCTGTATGAACATGGACTAGTATTGTGTATGTGTGTGTGTGCGCGCACACACACATCTATAAAGTGAAAACAATACTTTTCATGAGATTGTTGTGAGACAAACAACTAGTAAATATAAAGCACCTAAATGATGCCTCACTTTTGATCTATACTAGCACTCAGTAGCCGTTACCCATCCCTGTTATTAAAATATCAACTCATAACTTTGTGTTTCTCATAGGCATATCTCTTTGTTGTGTTAGCTTAGATTTGACCCCATCTTTTTAGTCTATATAAGCCTGCTTGGATCCTCCTGGACTTCCTCTGAGCTCTTTCAGACTGGATTGATGGTTGTAGGGCCCATCCCTGGAGGGTGCTGTCAGGGCTGCCCTCACAGGTAGCACACAGTGGCATACCTCAACCACTGTTTGTCTAACAGGAGGTAGATTTCTTACTGTGGGAGGTGAGTGACAGGTGAATAGACCACCATATGACGTATCTGGACAGCCAACAGATGATCATCTATGCCAGACAGGTATGTTGTAGGTAGGATTCCTACACTCTATAAAAAATCAACCTATATGAAATCTAATATTTCTTCTGACTTTAAGTTGCTATGACTTATGAAAAGCAAAATATTTCTAATGAAAGGATTAGACAAAATTAATATGCCTATTTCAGCAAAGTTCCATAAAGTAAGGTATGGGGTAGAGAAAAAAATGAAAGCTCAGCAGTACCTCTTTGTAGTGCTATGCCATTCTAATTCCTTAACCTAATCTTCTCTCTCTTGAAGTTTCAGTACTGGATACTTATTAACCAATTTAGACATGAGTCATACTTCATATCATATGACTGAATGTATGACATAATGTGAACCGTAATCTCTGTTAGAGAGGGCATTTCTGGGAGCATTAGTTGGCTAGGAGTCAAGATGAGTTTGAGCTACATTATGGGTGTGAGATAACAGATTGGAGAGATTTGAATAAATCACAGGTCAGTGATACAAGATCTGAACAGCATCCAAGAGTCAAGGTCCAAGATATTAACAGGAGTGATGTGGCTATTCCTGAGCAAAGGTTTCTTATAGGTTAAGAGCTTCAACGCCTGTAATCCTAGCACTCTGGGAGGCCAAGGCGGGAGGATCGTTTGAGCTCAGGAGTTCAAAACCAGTCTGAGCAAGAGCGAGACCTTGTCTCTACTAAAAAAAAAAAAAAAAATAGAAAGAAATTAATTGGCCAACTAAAAATATATAGAAAAAATTAGCCAGGCATGGCAGCTCGTGCCTGTGGGCCCAGCTACTCGGGAGGCTGAGGCAGGAGGATCGCTTGAGCCCAGGAGTTTGAGGTTGCTGTGAGCTAGGCTGATGCCATGGCTCTCTAGCCAGGCAACAGAGTGAGATTCTGTCTCAAAAAAAAAAAAAAAAAAAAAGCTTCAGAGGTTAAGATTCAAGTCAGAACAATTCTGTTAGATCAGAACAATTCTATTGGATGTCCAATCCATGGTGTTCCATGGAGAGGTGGGTAGACTGGGGCAGCCTCACCTTCAGTTTGCACACACTAGCACCAGCTCTGGCCACCTGACAGCAGAGGCTGTGCTGTTCTATTCAGTGGAAAGATCAAGGTGGGAGTGGAGGGGTGGAGGAGAGGGCTAGAAATCAGAATCCTCCCGTGTGTACTTTCCCCCCTCACTGAGACATTTTATTTGTATGTATATATTATATTTCTAGAAAAAGAGTCCCAGGATTTTTTTTTTTTCTCCTGTGTGT